CCACGAGTTTAATATGTTGCAGACTACATATATTTAAGGGGATTTCTTTTGCCGCTTAAAAAAAAATTTTTTTTTACTGTGGTATGCAGGTCCAGTGAATAGGGCTAGCGGGGAATTTGGCGTTTTCCAGGGGGTTGACGCTTGTTGGGGACCGTCTTGGGGGATTGAGACTGGGCATAGTGACCATGTAGCTGAAATGTGGGGGTGTGTAGAGGGCCACGTGAACTTGGTGAGTCCTAGTGAATGCAGTGAGCTGGGCCTGTGTGACTGCCCCCTAAGCATCGTACATTGTCTTGGGTGTATATCAGACAAGTAGATAATTTGGTTCTTTACTATTTGTGGGGTTTTTTTTGCAAGGTGGTGTGGCCAAAGCACAGGTAAAGGCTGTTTATAAGAGCAATTGAAATCATGATCATGGACCCTAAGCCGAGTGAGAAAGTGGAGGAGTAAGAGGTTCTGGTGGGACGTGTGTAGCTGGGAGGGGAGGGCTTTAGGAAGTCAGCAGGCGGAGCTGAGCTGGTGGGTTTTAGGGGTCACCAGATCCAGGCAGTCTGTGGGAGTGGGAGCTGAAGTGGAGTGGAGCTGAAGAGCAGGGAAGAGGACATCCAGTTGCTGAGAGAGCAGGGTGTGGGGAGACTCCTCCACATGGTATTGGGGCCACCCAGGATGCTGGCAGGAGATGGGGTGCAGAGGTAAGCCTTCTGTGAATGGGGGTGAACCAAGAAGAGGAGAAGGAAGGAGTTTGTACAGTGCTGGTAAGCACAGGCAACAGAAGGGCAGATGTTTTGACATGATTTTTCTCTTAAACCCCGTCCCTGGTCACCGTCCTTCGTGTGCATCATCACCTTCCTTCTCCCCTCCCCCTCCAATGGGAGAGTATTACGATAGGTAGAAAAAAGCAGACTCAGTCCAATAATTCCCAAAGAGCAAAAATCAAGGGTTAACTCGAATAATATATGGCTAGCTCTTAAAGAAAGATTTAATGAGATCTGTCTCCATGTGCTATACTTGTATATCTGACATTCCTTCTGGGTTCTAACCCACGTCTACTCATGTTGCTTCAAAGCAGCTGTGGGTGTATTTAATATGCATTATTTACATTGACTTATGATTGAGATGTAGCTTTATTAAAAAACTTTAGTGATTTTTGTCTATTCTGTAAAATCTTGCTGTAATATAAGTATCTATATGTATAAAAGCCTAAGCGAATGGCCAAACAGCCAACCGTCCGGTAGCTATAATATGCACTGACCACCAGGGGGCAGACGCTCAATGCAGGAGCAGAAACCACAGGCATGGAAATGTGGAACAGACTGATGAATCTCAGAGGGAAGGGAGGTGGGGGGAGGGCCTGGAGAGTAACCAAAGATCTTACATGCATACTAGAGGCCCGGTGGATTCCTGCACCGGTGGGGTCCCTCGGCCTGGCCTTCGGGGATCGGGCCGAAGAAACCGGCTCTCTGACTTCCCCCTAGGGTCCTGGATTGTGAGAGGGCCTCTAGTTATTTTATAAGTATTATTTAAAAAATTTAGCCTTGTATTTGGGGTGCATTATCGTGAAGGCAGTGAAAACCCCGCATGTGCTCATGTGCGTGCACACAAGGCAGTAGTGAAACTGCTGTGCACACAGATGACCAGAGAATTCCATCCTAGTTGAAGGGACGGGAATGTGGATCGTGGAGCAGCATGTGGACCTAGAAAACAAGGGAAAACAGAATGTTATGATAAGGGGCTGGCATGTGCTATTTCTGCTGCTCTTCTTTGCATAGAATTGGGTTATTTTGCATTTAATGGTGTTTATTGACGTGACCATTTTGACTGGTTCTCAACCCACTTTTTGACCATTTCTTCCTGTGACCGGAGATGATAATTACATTAGTCCAGAGTAAGTAGCAGCAGCAGGTTTACTTTTTTTTTTTAATAAAACATAACAGTCTTTTTCTTTTCCTTTTCAAAATACTTCCCTCCTAAGTCTGAGATTCTGTGAACCGGGGTCCTCATGACGCCTGAGAACACGAGAAGGTGGTAGGATGGAGCCGCCGTGCACAGGGCGCTGATCCTGCCCTCCACCCTCAAACTCCTTACCTCGTGGCACTGAACTCACCCAGGCCCCCGGGAGGAATGACAATCAAGGTGGTCATGCTGGTGCCCCTGCCGCTTAGCGGGGCTCAGTAAATGGTGGTGTTTATCAATAGGATTGCTCTGCATAGCATTTGGTTAAGCTCTAGGGCTCCTAAGTCTGACTCCGGATTCAAGTCCCAGCTCTGCCACTGTGGTCCTCGGATAGGATTTTAACCCTTCTGAGCTATCTGGTCTATCTGTTAAATGCGGATTATAGTAGTACCTATAGGATTGTTGTGAGAGTAAATAAGCGCAATCCCTGGCACGTGGTAGGAGCTCCCAGGAACTGTTACTATCATTGTGTTGGAGAGTTGGTTGGGTTCATGTGGCTTACCAATTTGATGCATTTGGGAATTGTTAGTTTTTAAATCGTACTCCTCCATTATCCACAATATTCCTTGGACATTTCACTTTCTCAGTCAGGCCTTCCCTGACCACCCTACTTAAAGCTGCAACTGTCCACCTTCTACCACCCACTCCACCATGCCTCCCCTTCATCCCATCCTCCCTGGCCCCCTACCCTCGTTTCCTACTTTGTTTTTCTCCACTGCGCTTACCACCTCTGTCCAGTTTATTTGCTTTTTCTGTCTTCATCCACTGAAATGTGAGCTCCATGAGAGCAGGCACCCAAGTCCACTTTGTCCACTGTGCCATTGGGAGAGCCTGGAATGGTGCCTGATCTGTGGGTGTGTGACCCATCTATCAGAATGAAGACATTGACTTTGAAAGCGACGGCATGATTCTAACCACTAAAGATTATTAAAGCGGCTGACGCTATCTGAGCTTAGAAGGTTCTATTCAGCAGCCCTTTAAAAAAATGTCTTTATTGATTTCAGAGGAAGGAAGGGGAAGAGCTAGAAATATCAATGATGAGAGAGAATCATCATTCGGCTGTCTCCTGCACGCCCTCCACTGGGGGTCGAGCCCACAACCCCGGCATGTGCCTTAACCGGGAATCGAACCCTGTTCTCCTGCTTCATGGGTTGGCGCTCAACCACTGCGCCACACCAGCCGGGCTGTTCAGAAGCTCCTAGTGACAGTTTGCTCATTGCTTGTCTCGAACCTCCTTTCTCAGTAGAAGACAATTGAAGTCAGGAAGAACAGATCTGAGGGACGATTAAGTTAGACGAAGAGAGGATTTACGGCTGCTTTACTTCTGACCCCTTTTCTTTCCGCATGAACATCGAACACCAGGGCAGCCAGGGGAGATGCTTGTCTCAAGTGGCCTCTCAAGTATCATTTTACTTTCTTGTCTCTTTTACATGCAGCAGAGCTCTCGGTGTTTTCTCTTGCAGGGCACCAATGCCTCTGCTCTGGAAAAAGACATCGGCCCAGAGCAGTTTCCCGTCAATGAGCACTACTTCGGATTGGTCAATGTAAGTATTTAAAAATGTATTATTATTTCATTGTTTAATTTATCTTTATTGTTGAAACTATTAAAATGTATTATTTTTATCAAATATTTTAAAATACTTGAAGCAATTTCACTGCCATTTTCGTTTTTAAAAATCATTCTTTATTATTGAAAGTAGTACATATGTCCCCCTTTCCCCCCCATTGATCCCCTCCAGCCCGCCCCCACAACCCAGCCCCTGCCCCAGGCCTTCAGCACCCTGTTGTCTGTGTCCATGGGTTATACATATATGCATACAAGGCCTTTGGTTGATTGTCTCTCACCCACCCACCCTCTCCTGAATCCCCTCTGAGATTCTGCACTCTGTTCTATGCGTCCATGTCTCTGGATCTCTCTGGATCTGCTTTGTTCAGTTTATTTTGTTACTTAGATTCCACATATGAGTGTGATCATGTGATACTTGTCTTTCTCTGATTCTTGTTTTTTTTAATCCTCACCCCAGGAGTGTGGATTTTTTTTTTTAGAGAGTGAAAAGGAGGGCGTAGGGAGGGAGGGAGAGAGAGAGAGAGAGAGAGAGAGAGCAAAAAGCATCGATGTGAGAGACACATGGATTGACACATAGATTAGTTGCCTCCTGCTCATGCCCAATTGGGGCCAGGGATTGAATCTGCAACCAAGGTATGTTGGTTGCCCTTGACCAGGAATTGAACCCGAGACCCTTTGGTCTGAGGGCGGATGCTCTAACCACTGAGCAAACCAGCTAGGGCTCCACTGCCATTTTCATAAAAAATTTTTAGACAATTGTTCATGCTCTTTAGTTACCAGAAGTGGTAAATGTTGGGGAGGGGGAAATTTAGTCCAGATTTTGAAAATGTGAGTTATCTCAGAAAGAAGGGTTTAACTCAGTGGTTCTCAACCTATGGGTCTCGACCCCTTTAGGGGTCCAACAACCCTTTCACAGGGGTCGCCTAAGACCATCGGAAAACACATATATAATTACATATTGTTTACAGTAGCAAAATTACAGTTATGAAGTAGCAACGAAAATAATTTTATGGTTTGGGGTCACCACAACATGAGGAACTATATTAAAGGGTCACGGCATTAGGAAGGTTGAGAACCACTGGTTTAACTACTGCATTATTGCATCAGGTTCTCATTTTCCCCCACCCATATTTTAAAGCAGCGGTCGCCAACCTTTCGGACCTCATGGACCACCAGTGGTCCGTGGACCACCGGTTGGCGACCGCTGTTTTAAAGGATTTCCACTGTACACATACCTTTGAGAGGAGGTTTTATTAACTTCTGTAGCGAAATCTGCTTTCATATGCTCTCCCTTTGTCCTCTGGATGTATAGACTCCTCAGGCAGTCTGTTTCAGATACATCAGTACAATTGGAGGTTTGTTTTTTTTTTTATATTTTTATTGATTTCTTACAGAGAGGAAGGGAGAGGAATAGAGAGTGAGAAACATCGATGAGAGAGAAACATCGATCAGCTGCCTCCCGCACACTCCCCACTGGGGATGTGCCTGCAACCAAGGTACATGCCCTTGACCGGAATCGAACCTGAGACCCTTGAGTCCGCAGGCCGACGCTCTGTCCACTGAGCCAAACTGGTCAGGGCACAATCGGAGTTTTAAAAGTGTTTCCAACTCATCACCAGTAAGTGTTTAACAATATAACTTGGTGGTGGTACCTGAAGCACGGGCGGGGTGGGGGGACCAGTTTATCTCAAAATTCCTTGGCTTCGTTTCCTCTGTGCTCAGCACTGCTCCCGTGTTTATGGCCCGACCTGCCAGGCTCTGCTTCCTTGAAAAGTTGATTATGACCAAGTAGTGAGGCAGTACCACCCACCACCCTCGTGAGCTTCCTACTGAGGTGGAGCTGTAAGTGACATCAGGTGTTAATTCACAAGCACCCGATTTTCTGGAACAACTGCTCTGAGCATCGTCAGTCAGTACTCAGGTGGGACAGGCAGTCATTTCCACGGAGGAGGCTGGAAATATTCTCTGTAAGTGAATGCTACCTGTGATTATAATAGAATGGATATTGGCTTCAAAGTAATACAGGCCCAAGTCTGAGCTCTGCCTATGCCTTTCACTAGCTGTCTGATCTTGGGCAAGTCATTTGACCTCTCTGAGCCTCCTTTCTCCATCTGTAAAGTGGAAATCAGTGGTTTATAGTGAAGGGTCAGTCAGAGCTCCCATTGAAGACCTTGACATGAGGCTGCGGTACATTGTGGACACCTGGTGAATGTTAGTTCCTTTCTTCTCCAGGAGTTGTCCATTGGATCAAGACCAAGTGTTACGGAGGGTATTTGGGTAAAGGCAACACATTGCGTAAAAGAGAAAAGAATGGAAGGAGGAAGTACGGGGATATAGGGCATTGTGCTGACGAAATGCTGACGTCTCATTTTAATATAATTTATTGTTTAGCCATTGTGCACAGGCCTCTGCTTATGCTCTCTGAAGATATCCAAGTTGTGGGAATTCTGCCCTGGCTAAGGAGAATACAAGTGCAGACTATGGGGAAGAAAGAAGTAAGGCCTAGGTTGTGGGAGCGTTGTGAGACCTAAATTCATTAATAGCTGTATGTTCACTTTGAAAGGTAATTCATGGGCAGTCCAGCTTTTCTTTAAAAAGAGGTTTGTCTCACTCTGGCTGGTGTTGCTCAGTGGTTGGAGCATCGGCCTGTGCACTGGAGGGTCGCAGGTTTGATTCCAGTTAAGGGCACGTTACCTGGGTTTGCAGGTTCCATTCCTGGCCTGGTCGGGGTGATTGTGAGAGGCAACCAATTGGTGTGTCTTTCCCACGGTGATATTTCATTCTCTCTCTCTCTCTCCTTCCTCTCTTTCTCTCTCCCCCCCCCCCATATCCCCCCTCTCCACTCCTTTCCACTCTCTCTAAAACGCAATGGAAAAAATTTCCTTTGGTGAGGATTAACCAAAAAAAAAAAGTTTGCCTCCTATTACATAATTGTGTCCAAGTAGATTAAAATATGTAAAAATAGGAGCTGTTCTATCTTAGCATACGTAGAAATGTCACGGTAAGCATGGCGGAGCATCTGTCTGGCTGCTGGGTGAACGGCACGCAAGCCAACAGCCAGTCCTGAGAAGATGCTCATGTTCTATTTCAGCCTTACACAGCATTTTGCTATCAATGGTTTTAATCTTATTATTTCCTTAGTTTTTTCCCTTTTCATTTTACGTGTAGGAAAAATTCTGAAGTGATCGTCTTTGCTGTGCTCTTATAGAGTTGGTTTTCCAGTCAGCAAAGCCAGCGAGATGACGACTTTTTCCCTCTTTAATCATCATCTGAGTGTCTGTGGGTTTTGAGAGGCACCAAATACTCCTGCAGGGGCCCTGATCTGACTGCAGGAGACCAAGAGCTGAGGGCTCTCGTATCGCCATCTTGGCAGAAGCAAGAGCGAGGGTGATGTAGGAGTTACGAGGGAGGAGGCTGTGGGATGACTGAAGGAGGCGAGGCACCTCCTTGCTTCTGTTGCTCTGGAGAAAGCGAGGAAATGTGGTCTGAAGCCAGTGGGCAGGCTGCTAGCATCTTGAGAGAGAAAAACTGAAATAAGTCCCATTCAGTTAAGGCTGTTTCATCTGAGCAAGTGGCTCCTAGTTCCTGGGTTTCTTTGTGATTGGGATTTTTCTTTTTGCTGTCAGAGGAGTTTTGATGTGCTACGGTGTAGTATCTCTTATTTAGCCAGCTGCCTTTCTGGGCCTCCGTGTTATGTTGAGTTTTTTTAAGCACCAGAAGGTCTCATTAGAGTTTTTTTTTATCCAGGCAGAGTGCTTCTGACCTTTTAAGAGATGCTAATGGGCTAGAGAGGCACCAGGCTATGCAGACTGTGTTCATTCCCTGCTGGTCAGCTGGTCACCGGTGTTTACTCGTTCTCTGACATGGCGAGCAGGACTCTGAGGCAGGGACTCCAGGCTGGCTGGTTCCTGGAGGGGGGCCTTCTCCCTCTCCCGACCCCTTCCAGAGGTGGCGTGTCCCGGGCCGTGATCTGAACCAGACCTGTTGTCCTTTGGCAGTTCGGGAACACGTGCTACTGTAACTCTGTGCTTCAGGCCTTGTACTTCTGCCGGCCTTTCCGTGAGAATGTGCTGGCATACAAGGCCCAGCAAAAAAAGAAGGAAAACTTGTTGACGTGCCTGGCAGACCTTTTCCACAGCATTGCCACGCAGAAGAAGAAGGTTGGCGTGATCCCACCAAAGAAGTTCATTTCAAGGCTGAGAAAAGAGAATGGTGAGTAGTGTGGAGATGAATGTGTGTCAGGGTCTGAAATATGGAGAATGGACAGTTCTCTATGTATCCTCAGAATGAGTCCTTCATTTCCCCCAGGGGGAAATAGTATGGCCAACTACTCAAATATAGTTTTTTAAAGAACATATATTTTTTCTTTTCTACCCAGTATACATAAAACAAAACTAGATTAAAAATATGCTTTAAAAATTCAGATTTGCCATTTCACTTTGGAATGGTCTTTTTATTTGCTTCATATTTGGAAGGTACGATCATTGTAAGAGGAAAATTTGCCCAAAACAGCCTTCTAAGTAGGACACTGATTGGAAGAAATAGATTGATGCAATAATTGAATGAAATAGTACTGTCTTATAGACTTGTTATAAGTGATTAAAGTAAATGCATATTTCCTAATCAGGGCCTCTGCTATTTAAAAATAATACCTCTCATTTTTATTTACCTAAGACAAAGGGTATTAAATTGATACCTTTCTATGATAAAAATGTCCTGCTGTCGCCTGATTTTTTTTCTGCCTTTTCTGTCATTTTGGCAGGGCGGGCAAGTGGTGGTAGAGACTAGGTTATTCCAGAAGTTTTGCATTGGTAATTTTTATGACTATAGAAATATTTGATATGGCAACTTGTGATTATCCTAGATTTCAGCCTTACTCCAACAGATTTGCAGAGTTAATCAGATGTTTGTTTTATAAAGTCTCATTTAATTTGATTGCTGCCTCTTAAAGGTGTTGTAGCTTATATGCACCAGAATAAAAGTAACCTGAGAAGGCAGCAGAGCACGCCTGCGTCTCGTTGTGAGCATGATTGATAATGAAGTCTCACAGCTGCACTCATCTCTAGATTGTGTGTCCGTACGGCAGGGACCAGCAATCGGCTTCTGGAAGCATTTGTGTTGGTTTCAGGACACTGTCAGGTAGACTCATTCTCACATACATCCCTCGTCTCCCGTATGTGCTCAATGAAGCTGCTTCCAGGCTGGTCCAGGGTTCAGTGTGATCTTTGGGAAGAGACTCCGGTTGCTCTGGATAAATTACAGAATGAATAATTGATCATTGGTGGTCACATCATATTAAATATTGATATTTTATCAGGAAACTTATCAAGTAATTTCTACTATTTTTTTTTTTTTGTAGAGTAAAGAAATTTTGCTAGCTTTTTATTTACATGATGACTTTAAGGAAATACATGAAATTCAGTTCTTGGTGGGCAGTAAAAAATGAACATGACCAAAAACCCTTTTCAAACTTACCTATTGAAGTTGCCAAAAGAGATGAATATATTGCATACTTGTTCCCCCTTTCAATATAAAAACTGAAGTGTCGCCTGTAAAATTGAGCATTTTTGTTTGCTTTTTAAGGACCAGAGACTGAAATAATGGCCCTCTCTTTTCCAGATCTCTTTGATAACTACATGCAGCAGGATGCTCACGAATTTTTAAACTATTTGCTAAACACTATTGCGGACATCCTGCAGGAAGAGAAGAAACAGGAGAAACAAAATGGGAAATTAAAAAATGGCAACATGAACGAACCTGCAGAGAACAACAAACCAGAACTCACCTGGGTCCATGAGATTTTTCAGGGAACGCTCACCAATGAAACTCGATGCTTGAACTGTGAAACTGTAAGCATTGGTCGGGCTCGCATGTCGTAGGCTCGTATGTATTTGTAGAGGCCAGGTTGCGTGTGAGTGCAATGTGGTATAGTGTCAACATTTGTTTTCAGTACATGCAGACACTTCTACTTATGTATATGAACCTCAGGTGCAAAAGTTTGCAAGCATGTCTCCATCTAAGTCAGTGGTTCTCAACCTTCTGGCCCTTTAAATACAGTTCCTCATGTTGTGACCCAACCATAAAATTATTTTTGTTGCTACTTCATAATTGTAATGTTGCTACTGTTATGAATCGTAATGTAAATATCTGATATGCAGGATGGTCTTAGGCGACCCCTGTGAAAGGGTCGTTCGACCGCCAAAGGGGTCCGACCCACAGGTTGAGAACCGCTGATCTAAGTTGTCTCCACTGGCTGAAGTAGAGTGACTAGGGCACTTCTTAGCAACTGGATTGCTTTGCATCCTGGGCAAATTTTAGGGCCCACAGATTGAACTGTTGTACTGGACCTCTACCAGTTATCTTGAAAAGATTTTGGTTCCAAGGAGGCCATGTGTGACAGACCATCTCTCTGACTTTAAGGGAATCAGCTGTGTGGTATGGTGAGCTTGAAGTCAGGAGACTGCAATTCCCTTCCATTGCAGTTGTGAGGGCCGGGTGAGCTTAGTGCTTGGATGAGTCTGGCACATGGTATGTAGGCACGTGGTGTTAGTTGGATCTGAAGATGTGATCTCCAGAATATGATTCAGGATGTTATGTTTGCTTGGTATACTTGATTTACGTCTGTATGTGGCTGCAAAATATGGTAGGTAGAACCCGGCTCTGCAGCCAGGCGGCCAAGTTGGAATGTTGGCTCAGCCACTCGGTAGCTGTGAGGCCCTGTGCAGATTATTCCACCTCTCTGACCTCACTCTCCTCATCTGTAAATGGGGGATGATGACAGTGCCTATCTCATAGGGTTGCTGGGGGAGTAAATGAGTTAACATTTGTAAAACACTTGGAACCATGCTTGGCACATAGGAAGTATGCAAAAAATGTTAGCTATTATTAGTTATAATTACTAATATCGTAGGAAGTCTATGGGTTCCTCAGGGATCTTCGAGTTTCTTGACATTGCATGAAAAATTCTGTAGGATTGTGCATTTTCTCTGAGGAGATAATAGCTTTCATCAGATTTTGTAAAGGGGCTATAACCCCTGCCAAAACATTTTCTACACAGAAGTAGTCAAGAATGTGGATTTAAATGGAAGGCTCTTCGTTTTCAGACAGTCTTCCTTCTATCCTTTTAAACAATTTTGGAATTAACATTCTGATTTGTTCATTGTAAAAGAAAAAAAAAGATATAGTTAAGCAAAAAGAGACTAAAGGTTACCAGTAATCTTCCCACTCAGAGATGCCCACATTAGCCCAGAGATAACAACAGGACATTTTGGAATACATCCTGCCAAAACATTTTCTACACATACTTCTCTATCTAGATATCTGTCTTTCTTCCCTTTCTCCTTTCATTCCTTTGTATTTTACATTCCAGTAAAATTCATATGAATACAGCATTAGATAGTATAATAAATCCCATGTGTGTAGCACTTGGGATCAGTGATTGTTAACACATTGGCCCATCTTGTTCATCTCTTGTTCCATGCACCCTCCCTCATCATCAAACTGGTCTGTTTTTAAGCAAATTTCAGATAACATATCATTTTACTTGTAGTTTCTTCATTATAGTAGGTCCTTGGGTTACGTTGGAGATCCGTTCCTACGGTGCCACGTAACACGATTTTCGCCGTAAGTCAGAACCCACCTACATAAGCACCTACGTCACTCACATGGAGCACAGACACAGCAGTAATGAAGTGATACAGTAAAAACAATTTAAAAGCAAGATAACAATTCCTGACCTTTACTTGTGGTAAATCAATAATAAAAAACATAAAGCACAAATGTACATACGTCGAAATGATGGAACTTTTTTTTTTTTTTATAAAGAGATGGGAGATGGCGACTTAACCATGAAACGACGTACGTCGAGTCCGACGTAACCCGAGGACTGTCTGTACTTTGTTCTGTATCTCTAAAAGGAAAGAAATCTTTTTATTTTAAACATAAGTACAGTTACTTTTAAAATAATTTCTTTAAACCATTATTCACTGTTTCTCTGGAATTTTTTCATCTCATATATATTTTTTTAGCAGTTGCTTAATTCAAATCAGGATTCATACATAGTCCACACATTGCATTTGGTTAGTCTCTGTCTTAATCTATAGGTTACCCCATCCCCCATTTTTTTTCCTTCCGGTTTATTTGTTGAAGAAATCAGGTTATTTGTCCCATAGAATTTCCCACATTCTGGAAACATCTGTGGTGGTGTTTGAAATGCGTAGTAAATGGCAGTATGTTTTTACCATCCTACTCTTTGTTTTTATTTAACACACCTATTTTATATTTTGTTTTCTCTCTTGCCTGCTTTTGGATCAATGAAATGGTTTTATTTTATTTTTTTAAATCTTTGAAATAAACACATGACTAAATCCATCTTCCAGTGTCTGGATTTTCAGGAAGGCTCAGCTGGGAGGCTCAATTTTATTTGTAGTTTCTTTGTTGTCTGTGATCCCAGCAAATGCAAATATTGCATCTCAAATATTTGTATTGAAAAAACTATCACCTAGTCTGTTATTTCTGCAGGGTCACCATAGAGGGGAAACCTGAGCCCAAAGATTTCTCTATAGATTTTGGATGACCCTGTAGAGTTTGTGATAATGGAATTCCAGCCATTTATGGTTGGTTTGTGGGAGTGAATGAGAGTAGGAGGGGATGTCTTTCTGGGGCAATCAGATTGATTCTTACATTAATTACTCCCAAATGAGTACTAGATGATTTGAGGCAAGAGTGTTTTTCCCCTGGATTTTCTGGGATAATCACCTCCATTTTCTTAGGTCCTTTAACTGAACAGGATCCTAGGAGTCACCTAATCCTTTCTCGCCCTGTGCCCCAGTCCCTTCTGTGTCGTCCTAGCCAGTTGGTCATCTACTGGACCCTGTCCAGAGACAGGGAACTCAATCTCCTGAGGAGATGCATTCCATTTTTAGAAAGCTCTAATTGTTAGAAAGCTCTCTACTTTCTAAGGAAATACACAACCTGCAGGCTTTATTTTTTTGTCCTGTAAAATGTTGAGGACTTGGAGTGAAAGAACACTTAGGGTTGAAGCTTTCCTGCTCAGGATGAGAAACGCAGGCCCCCTTCCAGTAAGGTCCTCTGCGGAGGGCAGGCAGCCTGCAGAAGGCGCTTCAGTCAGAATTGCCAGGCCCCACATGTGTGAAATCTCTCAGTGGGAAGAAACTGCACCAGATCCCGAGCAGCAAATTAGCCCCCAGGGAAGCTTGCCATTGTAGCTGCCTGGCTGCCAGTTCCTCCAATTGTGGAAAACTCTTTGTGGGAGCCTTCATGCTTTCAGAAAACAATCTCTTTTTTTTTTTTCTGGGTCTCACCCTTTGTAAATGTTGCTTGTGATTGCTGTACAAATGTCAACTGCCGATTTATGGAGACAAACAGTTTCATTCTGCAGTAGACCTGGAGAGACTATTTTAAGGGGGGTAATTCAGTGCTGACTTCCCTGGGTAACCTGGAGCAAGGCTCTTCAGAACTGAGGCGTGGGGGATTTACAGAGCAGCCTCAGCGCTGCCTTGGCGGTTCTTGGCTTGGTGCATAAGATCTGCAGGGCCCGTTGGAGCTCAATTTTGTTGTTGTTAATTTTCTTCCTTTCCATTAACATGGAGTCTTTGCTCTGCTAACTGGTGGTTTTCAGTGCTTCTCAGTGGCTTTAAGACACATTTCTGTCTGTTACTGGAGCCAAAGATTGTCTACAGAACCGCTTTATTAACTACCGATAGTACAGCTCCTTCTTGTTTTGTTTGCAGGGGTTAAAATTGACCCGGGAGCGCGGTCGGTGTGGCTCAGTGGTTGAGCGTCGACACAAGAACCAGGAGGTCACCATTTGCTTCTCTATCAGGGCTTGATCCCCAGTAGGGGGCATGCAGGAGGCAGCCAATCAGTGATTCTTTCTCGTCATTGATGTTTCTCTCTCTCTCTCTCTCTCTCTCTCTCTCTCTCTCCCTTTCCCTTCATCTCTCTGAAATCAATAAAAACATATTTTTTTAAATTTCTTTATTGGTTAAGTATTACAAATGTGTCCTCATTCCCCCCCCCCATTAACCCCCAACCCCCCCCTCCCCCGCTCCCCCCCCCCACTCATGCTCTCATCCCCCTGTTTTCCGTGTCCATTGGTTTGGCTTATATGCATGCATACAAGTCCTTTGGTTGATCTCTTCCCCTTACCCCCACCCTCCCCTACTTTCCCTCTGGGGATTGATAGTCTGATCGCTGTTTCACTGTCTTTGGATCTGTCCCTGTTTTTTTTTAAAAGAAGTTGATCCAGTAGAGCTTCTGAGCTCTTCACAGAAGAGGAGTGGGGTGGGTGGTGTGGCCAGGTGTGATTGAGTCCCTGGGGTCCAGGTGGGTTGTAGTTGCCACTTGTCCCAAGTCCACCGTATTGGCACTGCTTCAAGGCCAGCGCATTTTCAGGTTCTGGCTGAACAGCATGGGGCTCCTGCCTGGTCACCTTTTCTAATAAGCCCAGGAGTCTCTGGATTTAAAAACACATTTGAATATGATTTTTATGACTCAGAAATTTAGCAAAGCTCATGATTTATATGTATACCCTATAAATTAATTTGTTCTATTAATTTGTAATTATTACTTTGGAGAAGAGCAAGTAGGGTCTCTTCCACCCTTCTTAAACTAGAGTTTTTGGGGAACCCAGTCGGGGGGAAGAAAGGAGAATAAGATGTAGCCTGTACTTGCTGAGAGTATTGGAGTCTTAGTGATATCTACGTTTCCGTGGAGACAAGCTGTATTTTCATTTAGACCAGAATGAGATCCTTGTGCGTGGGAAGAAAAAGGTTTTCTTTTCTGGCAGCTTTCTGGGAAGAGAGAAAGGAAAAAAGATTGCTGATCACTCGTTGCTTTTGACTGTCAATCTGGGCAGGGAGAGAGAGAAACCCAAGTGGGAGGGTTTATGCCGTGTTTTGATATTCCCAGCGGGGTCGATCCACCTGAGCAGTGCTTCCTCACAGTCTTAAATCCTGGGAGCAGTTTGCATTGGGAATTGAGAAAGTTACAGTAACTTTACCCAGTTAGTTAATTAAATTTTTACCCCACCCCCACCCCCCATCTCCTAAAACGAGTAGAGAAAAAGATTTCTGCCTAACAGGAGAAAACGTTCCTTTGTTTTTGCTCCCTTCCAGCTGTAACAGTTTTAGTAAAACCTGATCCTAGCTATCTAAATTAAGTATGATTTCAGTTGGCTATACACCTCTTTCTCCCTTCTCCTCCCCCATCCCCCGAGAAGGGCCATTTGGTTCTAGAAAAGGTTTTGTTAATTAAAAAATATAATATCTGTGGATTATTTTAAGAAAACAGAATGTAGCCTGGCCAGGTTGCTCAGTTGGTGGAATGTCATGCTGTATACCAAAAAGGTTGCCGGTTCGACTTCCACTCAGGGCACATACCTAGGTTGCGGATTTGATCCCTGGTTGGAGTGTGTACAGGAGGCAACAGATCGATGTGTCTCTCTCTCCCCTTTACTATCTAAAATCAATAAAAATATCCTCAGGTGAGGATTAAAAGAAAAAGAAAGAAAACAGAATGTATAAAAAGAAAATTATTCATAATTCTGTCACTCGATGTCTCTTGGAATTTAGATATCTTTTTACTTGTTCATTCTTTTGTTATTTATTCATTCATTTAGTAAATATTTATTGGGTACCTACTAAATGCTGAAAATTATTTTAGGTATTAGGGCTATAGTAATTAGACCAACAGGAAAGATAGTCCCTGCTCTACAGTTTATTAATATATGCATTTTAAAGCTATAAATTTTCCTTTAAGCACTGCTTTAGCTACATCTCACAACTTTTGATATGTGTTGTCATTATTTCAAAATATTTTCTAATTTTCTCTTGTGATTTTTTTCTTTGATTCATACATTACTTAGCAATATGCTGTTTAATTTTTAAACATTTGGGATTTTCCTAGATATTTGAATATTATTGATTTAGAATTTAATTCCATTGTGGTTAGGGAATATCTTCTGTATGGTTTCAATCTTTCTAAATTTATTTTGACATATTTCAAATCCTAACACATGGTCCAATTTCTTAAATGTACTTGAAAACAGGTTCTCTCAACCTTGGAACTTAACAGTGCAGATCAGATAATTCTTTGTTGTGGGGTGCTGCCCTGTGCATTATTGGTTGTTTAGCAGCATCTCTGGCTTCTGCCTGCTGGATGCCAGTAGTATCCCCCAAGATGAGACAACGAAAATGTCTCCCAACATTGCCTGAAGACCCCTGGAAGGTTGTTTCCCTTGCTGAGTCAAAGAGAATGTATATTTTGCAGTTGTTGGACATCCTATATAATAAAAGGCTAATACGCTGCTGGGGTCTGGCCGTAGGGACTGGGCGAGACAGGCCAGACATGCTCTGGAGCCCTCCCGACCGGCCAGCCTCCCACGGTCCCTCTCCGGCTGGCCGGCCCTGAACGGCCCCAACTGGGACTGGGCAGAACGGGCTGGACACGCCGTGGATGAATCCATGCACCGGGCTGGTTTCGGCCTGATTCCCGCAGGCCAGGCCGAGGGACCCCACCGGTGCACGAATCCCTGCACTGGGCCTCTAGTGTATAATGAAACCAATTTTACCTTTGGCTAATTGATATAAATAAGAGTTAAGTTCCTATGGCATCTCATCAATGTCATAACAAAACAGCCTTGACTAAAACCACATTCAAGGACCTGCTGTAGTCGTACTGGTTATCTGTTGCTTTGTTACGAACCACCCTGAAAGTCTGACCTATATCAGTTATGATTTAGCATTATAATTCATGCATCTATGGACTTGGCTGAACTTGTGTGTTTGTATTTTATCTGGCTCACTCGTGTGTCTGCAGGCCAGCTGGGGTTTGGCTTGAGGCTGGGCCTGGCCGGGCACCGATGTGAGAACAGCTCTGCTCCCTGGGTCCCGTCTTCCTGGGAACAGTGGGCCAATCCTCATGGTGATGACAGAAGGGCAAGAGAGCAGTTTCACAAGTGCTTACTCAAGCCCCTGCTTATAGCACGTCTTCTAACATTCCACTGGCCAAAGCATGTCACATGGTTGAACGCAGAATCAAGGGTTGGGGAACATACCCCTTGATAAGAGATCTGTAAAGTCATGTGGCAAAAAGGCTAGTTTAGGCAATGGTAAGGATTTGGGGCCTTTCATGCATTCTACCATGGCAGTAATAAGTGCCATAAAAAATTAAATTAGGATGATAGAGACGTGTGTGTGTGTGTGTGTGTGTGTGTGTGTGTGTGTAAATATACAGGGGTGGGTGAAAGTAGGTTTACATTTACATTTGTTCATATGGAAAATAATACAATAATAAATAAATAATAATATGAGAATTAACCCTGTGTTTTGTGTATTCAAAATTATAAACCTACTTTTCCCCACCACTATATATAGGCCTTTTAAATACAAAATTGGAATTAATTCACATAATTGGATAGCCAACTTTTTCATTTACTGTGATACCCATAATGTATGTAAACTGTTTCCAACTTCTTGACCATTTTAGGCCTTTTAACATTTTCTGCTCCTCATGATTTGTTGAATGTTTATCTCTTAAGGCACTTAACATGTATTATTTATATCATCTTGAGAAACAGCCTTGTGAAATAGATACTCTTACTGTCCCCACTTTACAGATGAGGAACTGAGGTACAGAGAGGCTACGTACCTGGCCATAAGTCATCCACTTTAATAAGGGGCAGAGACAGGATATGGCGCTGGGCAGTCTGTCTCAATACACCGTCTTGTGTAGACTTACACAAGTGTAAAAGATGTATTCACATCTCTGAATAATTCTCTAGGTAATTTCCTAGCAGTGGAGTATTGGGTCCCAAGGTAATTGTCACACGTAAAGGAGTATTATTTTCATTTTGTTGCCACGTGACTGAGCAACTCAAGGTTGTTGCAGGAATAATTGGTCCCTCCCACTCCAAGATGGTAAAATGCTGGTGAACTACTGGAATATGTACACTAACTCGGAGAGCTTCAATAAGTAGGCCCGGAATTGGATCTGTGGAGGGCTGAGAACTAGCCCGGGCCAATGAGCCATCCTGCCTGAGAGCAGGCCAGAGTGACAGGCAGGCCGGTGCGAGTCTCGGCTCCAGGCCAGCTCCGGGTCCAGTTGTTATCACAGACAGTGCAGGGCTCTGCACATGATGGCCACGTCCTGTGTCAAAGGACAGCTGCACCTGGAGCCGGTGTGACTCTCCAGCCCCTCGCGCATTAGGCTCCCTGGCTCCTCATGCGGTTGGAATGAGCAGACATGGGAAGAAGAGGGTGATTTCAAGGGACTGGCAGAAAGTGCAGACAACGTTACGAAGGGCTGACCCTCAGAGTAGCAGGTTTTCTATGTGTCTCGTCCTTTTTCCATTTTCGTTTTTATCATTCTGCCAGTCTGAGCTATATGGCTACCTGTCTGATACTTCCTACTTTGGAACAGTGGAGGAAATGAATGGAGAGGAAGAGAAATCTGGTAGAGTTTTCATTATTAAGAGTTCTAGCCAGCCGGGTGGCTCAGTGGATCGAGCGTCGTCCTATACACCAAGAGGTTGCTGGTTTGATTCCCAGTCAGGGCATGTGCCTGGGTTATGGGCTCCATCCCCAGTAGGGGTGTGTAGGAGGCAGCCAATTGATGTTTCTCTCTCATCTATGTTTCTATCTCTCTCCCTCTCTCAATAAAAACATTAAAAAATAAAAAGTTCTGAATCAAAACTGGGATAGAGATATGATTAAATTGAAAATTTGGGATTTTCTGTAGATTGGGTTTCCAAGGTTACTGATTGCCAGTGAATATGCAAAGCCACACACCACTTTTACTGCAGTTATGGTTCTTGGTTACCTCTAAGTGTTCAAGATACTATGTCTGTTGTGTATTTTGTGCCTAAGACTTTTTTTTCTTTTTTTTTTTTTTGCTTCAGGTTAGTAGCAAAGATGAAGATTTTCTTGATCTTTCTGTCGATGTGGAGCAGAATACATCCATTACCCACTGCCTAAGGTAACCTCATGAATTCTGAGTGTGGTCTGAGCTTTTGATCAGGCTAGTAAATAAGTGGGGGAAATATCCCATATTTCTTTAGGAAATAATCTTCCTTTCTGTTAAACCCATACAATACCATTTCCTATTTCTTTTTTTCCAAGAGAGATTAAAAATAAGGGTATGTGGTCTGGAGAAAAGTCCTATGGAGAAGAGGTAGGATCAAATGGAAGCTGTTAGTCATTAAGTTTTTAGTCTTTAATACAGATGTATTAAAGGGCTTTCTTCTCTCTCTCTCTCTCTCTCTCTCACACACACACACACTCTTACACAATTAAGTTAATAATTGCTATAGATGCCTGCCATTCCTTTATTTTTCTAAGCTAATCTATTCTGTTATTTTAAAAAATCATGCACTTTTGAGCCGAGAACCATTGAGGAAATTGCGTTTTCCTCCAACTTCCAGCATTGTATGGAGATCATTCATGGGGAAAATGGCTCCTCACTAGGGTTGAGTGGAGGTGAGGAGCCCGGAGTGTGAGAACAGTACGTGCGCAAGATCACTATAGGTATTGCATGCTTGAGCTGTGCTCCAAGTTGCTGTAAAGACATGGCTTCCTTTTCCCCTCCTCTTTCCAACAAGAGGTCGTGAGTGCTCACAGTGAGCCAGGCCTAGTGTGGACACTGGAAATAGAGGAATGAGCACCAGATATGCCTGTCGCAGCACTTGCATGCGGTGGGATCTAAAGATGGTGATCGGTGCTTTGAAGGAAATAAAACAGGTCTGGAGAGTGAGGGAGCCAGTGTAGACTGTGTGGTCATTGCTCAGGTACTGCAGCTCAGAGGCGCTTTAAGGTGTCATCACACGGCAGTAGGAGTAGGGTGGCGGACTTGTTCTTCCGGGAGTGCGGGTGACTTGGAACATTTTAGAAAATGCGGATTAAAGGGACTGCTGTGGCGGTTAACTGTCAGAAAGTCATCTTATGTGGAAGAACTTGATTCGTCTGGGGGTTAGGTATTGTGAGAGCTGGGGGCCGATTGCTCTCCCATCTCCCAGGAGCCTGATGCCACCGCACCCCCCCCCCCCCCCCCCAACACACACACACTGTGCTGATGGGCACCTGAGCGCTTCCTGTTGGTTTGGCATGTCAGCCTTGTCTGCAAATGCCTTAGGTCCTGGGGTCTAGGAAAAGTTTACCTCTTTGCAAAGAGAAGGATGGCCTCTTTTTCTTCCGAATGGTCCCATTTATGACGTGGGTTCTTAATCCTCCTGTGAAAATAAGCCATTTTTTATTTTCCCAAGGTTTTATGATCTCAGGGAATATAGAAACAATTGAGGCTGTGCTAACATTAGTCGCAGATGAGGGGATGGGAGAAAGGGTATTTGTCCATACCCCTTCTTTGAGAAGGGGAGTTAGGGAGGTTGACCGCTCCCCTTCTTAGCATGATCTGGGCTGTTCAAAAAGGCAGACGGCAGTGGCCTTAGCTTTGAGGCCAACCAGGTAAAGGGCCAATGGTTAGTTAAAATTTCAACCTTTGGGAACCCAGATTTGTGTATTCATTTTTTTTTTTTTCTGGAGAAATGTGCTTATTGGCCATGCATACCCGAGGAGGGCAGGCTAGAGGCATTCGGAAATGTTAAAGCTGGGAAGGGTGAGTACGAAATAGCCTGGGAAAACCTTCATCCAACATGAGATTCTCATTTGATGGGACTGTGCAGGCTGATATTGCTGAAATGGCTGCCCATCCTCACTTTACATCCTTAAACTAGACCTTGACTGACTTCGCTGTACCTGCCCTCACATACTGACTTAGCTGTACCTGCACACACATACACACACACACACACTCTTACACAATTAAGTTAATAATTGCTATAGATGCCTGCCATTCCTTTATTTTTCTAAGCTAATCTATTCTGTTATTTTAAAAAATCATGCACTTTTGAGCTGCCAGGTGTTGTCATTCAAACCGAGAGCTCTGCGATGGGCAGCAGATTCCCAACCTCCGAGAGGGATGTGCAGGAGGAAGGCCAGCTTTTTCCATCTGAGACAAAAGATGAGGAGTGATTCTGATCTATTTTTGGCCCTTTTCATGGTTTAACTCGGTTTGCATTCTTGAAGGCTTGTTTTTAAAATTAGAATTCTGAAGTTTTTTTTTTAACATCATGACTCCATTTCTCTTCTGATGTGATATTTTTATCTTTCATTTGATGATGTAAAAGTAAAAAAAAATTCAAGCTAAAATTGTGGTATTTAAATGTCATATTTTTGCCACTTCCTTCCAGAATGGTTTTTGGTGATCAGTTACAATGTGTGTTCAGTGAACTTTTGTCCCAGAGAAATGATGGTATAAAATGGAGTTAAGTTCAGGATACAGGCTCCATATTGTCGCTTAGCTATAATTCTGATATTTCAAATCTCAATATTATGTCTTAGGCAAGGTGAGCCCTCTTTACCCTAGGAGGATACCAAGTAAGTTTTTTTTTTCCTCTTGAAAAGTTAAGGGATGGCCTCAGGCAAAAACTTAAAATACGTGACGTTCATCTCAGTTATCCTCACGTGGCCTTTTCTACTTTTGTGCCTTAGTCCCTCCTGTGGCTCCTTCACAGCAACTTACCTTTGTCCTCAGAGTGCTCCCCGTTCTGAGGCCACCTTCCTCTTCCTCTGTCTTCCTCTCATTTAAATTCCCCTTCTCCCAGGGAGACCAGCCAGGAGGAAAGGAGCCTTTTAATATTCCTAAAACTCTATTTTAAAAATTAATCTTAGTTTTTAAAATTCCTTTTCTACTTATTTTGAGAAATTTCTTTCATGCACTAAGTTCATAGAAGTCCCACCACACTTCCTTTGCCACACCCTTATCTCTCAGTTTTACTGTCCTGTGTTTCAGTTTTGGTTGTTGTTATATGGTGTTTTCTAATATCTGACATATAACTTTTTCTCATGGATTTCTATTTTTAATCTTTTTTTATATTCTAGTCAGTGGTTTTCGAACTTTATTGTGTCAGATTCACCTGGGCAGGTTGGTACAAATCAAGGCCCAGGCCATATTCAACTTCGGCGAGCCTGGGCCCCTATTTTTAATTAATTTCCTGGTGATTCTGATACCACCAAAGTTTAAGAACCACTGCTCTAGATCTTTGCCCCTCAAACAGGGGTTCGTGGGCTAGCACCATTGTTGTCACCTGGCATCTCATTAGAACCACAGCATCCCAGGTCTCCCCCAAGAATGAATGAATGAATCAGAATCTGCATTTGGACAAGATCGCCAAGAGATTCAAATGCATGTGAATGTTTGCAGAGCAGTATGTTGGGTCACTTTAAGAACAATGCCTGGGTTCTCCCTGGAGAGATTCTGACGTAATTGATGGGGGCAGGTGAGGGGGCTGATATGGAGATTGAGATTGTTTTTAAAGTTCCCCAGGTGATTCTAAGGAACAGCCAGGAGAACCACTGCTGTCGGTTCCAGAACAAAGCTTCCCAGTCGGTGTGCCACGGTAACTGGGTCGCAGGTGTGTGTCCTGCCCTCCGCTCCTAGAGGCTGAGCAGAGCCACAGGAGCAGCGCATCAGGTTCCCGCAGCTCCTTGCCGTGTAGTATCATTTCTATGTGCACCACGCTAGGAGCACTATCCGGAAGCATTGCTTGAGAATTTTTTAAAACCAATTTTTGAGCTATTGTGTTGAGTGGGAAAGTAGTTAAGATTTTAATGAAAAAAATGTATCAAATATAGACGTTACCTTGGACATGATAGCCATCTTTACAGTATATAACATTCCCATCCATGAACATAGTCTTTCTCCATTTTTTTAAAAGTTTTTTTTGTATACATTTCCATAAGATTGTATAGTTTTTTTATTTATAAAGGTGTGCATTTTATATTAGATCTGTTCCCAAATTGTGTGTGAGTGTGTGTATATATATTTAAATATATTTTTATTGATTTCAGAGAGGGAGGGAGAGAGACATCAATGGTGAGAGAGAATCATTGATTGGCTGCCTCCTGCAGGCCCTCTGCTGGGAATCGAGCTTGCAACCCGGGCATGTGCCCTGACCAGGAATCAAACTGTGACCTCCTGGTTTGTAGGTCGATGCTCAACCACTGAGACACACTGGCCGGGCCCCAAAGTATATTTTTAAATAGTGTTTTACTGCCACTATGACTCTTTTGAAAGAAATACAAAGAGTTTTGTGCTTTTTCTCTAACCTCGTCTCTGCTTTAGTAATTGATCTGCTCTTGGAAAAAGGTCTCTGCTCTTTCCTTCCCCTCTGACTTTGTTATTGCGCAGTTTCCTCACCTTTGTTGCCTGCTTTTGTTCCAGCAGTTATACAATAGCAACTGACAGGCCTGGTCTGCCTCAGGGTTTCCTGCTGGCCACCCCCCTTCCTCGCCTAGCCTCACTTCCCACTTCTCAGCTCACAGACCCCCTAAAAGCATGGCCCTGTCCTCGCGGCAGCAAGCTCCCAGCCAGCTGGGGCCGGGCAGGCTGGTGGCCATTTGTAATTAGGTACTAACTTCTGCTGTATTTCTGCTGTCTGGGCCTACACATACTTCAGGAAACTGCCTTTGAGAAATACAGTAAGCAGAAACCCCTGTCCATTGCTCTGCCTGCCTTGGTTTTCTGTTCTCTAGCTGGATACAGAGGTTTGTCTGTGGTGGATGTACCCAGGGTGTGCATCTCCACTGCCACCCATTCGCACCTCTCCCTCTCCCAGCCCCCGCCTCGTCCACCCCGTAAGCCTGTGCAGGCCAAGCACTGCTTTCACATCCGCTCCTTCTCTGAAGAGTTGCCTGTATTCATTCAGCTGAATGTGAGACTGTATTATGCACCAAGCACTTGAAATCGGGATGGAGTGTAATTGCCTTCTAAATTGTTTCCTGGCCTTCGACCCCCTCCGGTTCTTCCTCTGTGGTGCTGCCAGAAGTGGTATTTGTAGAAAGCACCGTCTGATTATGTCTTCTCTTTGCTGAGACTGGTTAGTGGGGCTCCAGAGCCGCAGGGTCCACGCCAGCTTCTAAGCAGCGTACTCGCCGTGCCTCCATGCCTCTGTCAGCATTCCCTCCGTCTGCAATGCTTGACTCCTATCCCCCCAGCACTTTTTCCCTCCGACAGCCTGACTTGGACATCGCCCCCGGGGAAATGTCCTGAATTACCCCAGTTCAAGTTCATGTCTCCTCCCGTGGACCTCATCTCTGACCTCATTTCCCTGGACCCTGTGCACACTCCTCTGCTTTCGTTCAGCCGGCTGCATTATTGAGGGACGTGAGCATTGTTCTCCGTGCTTGGCTACAGCAGTGAGCCAGACGGGGTCAGTGCCCACAAAGAGGAGAGACACGTACTACATGAATGAGAGGATGGTTTCAGAGAGCAGTGAGTGCTCCTAAGAAAACCAGACAGCAGTGGGCTAGGGCTGGGCTGGGTGGGTCTGGAGCAAGTGGACAGGGAAGTCTTCTGGCAAGAGGTGACATTTACACCGAGCTCCGAATGAGCGAAGTAGCATGGAAGCATCTGGAAAGGAGCACCTGCAAGTGCCAAGAGGCAGGGAGAGCGTGGAACGTGAGCCACAGGAGAAGGCTGGCCCGTGTGGCTGGAGCAGAGTGAAGGGCGTGGGCAAGGTCGGAGATGAGGTCAGAAGAGCAGTCAGATCTGAAGACGGCTGGCCTGTCCCATGGCAAGGAGTTTGGATCTTATTCACAAGTGCACTGAGGAGCTGTTGGAGGGTTTAGGGCAGGGGTCCTCAAACTTTTTAAATGGGGGGCCAGTTCACTGTCCCTCAGACCGTTGGAGGGCCAGACTATAGTTTAAAAAAAAAACTATGAACAAATTCCTATGCACACTGCACATATCTTATTTTGAAGTAAAAAAACAAAACGGGAACAAATACAATATTTGTATTTGCATGTGGCCCTCGGGCCGTAGTTTGAGGACCCCTGGTTTAGGGGAATCAGCGGTGTGAAGTGATTTATGTTGGACCTGCACTGAGCACCAAATGTCTGTGACTCACCTGTGCACGTCTCTGTAGGCGGAGCTGTGTGAGGGCAGGGACTCTGCGAATCTCTGGCACCGAGTCCCAAGTACTGTTGGTAAATATTTGGGAATTTAATGAACAAATAATCCATGTTTTCTTTTGATAAGCTCTGTTTAAGTGGTTGAGTCTTTCACTTGTGAATAATAGCATTTTTGATATAAAAAATATGTATTTTTACTGATTTCAGACAGGATGGGAGAGGGAGTGAGAGAGAGAATCATCAACGATGAGAGAGAATCATCAATCTGCTGCCTCCTGCACACCCCCTACTGGGGATCGAGCCCGCCATCTGGGCATGTGCCCTGACTGGAAATCGAACTGTGACCTCCTGGTTCATAGGTCGACACTCAACCATTGAGCCACACTGGCTCGGCTAACATTTTCAGTTTAGTCAAATGTGACCGTTCTGGTTTTGGGACACTCCCCGTGCATAAGGAAATGTCACGGACCTTTTCAAGACTCTGGGGTGTTATTATATTCTGGATGTTCTTTCTGCCTTTGAAGTAGTACCACAGGAATGTTAAATAGAATCTCAGGGACCAGAAAGAATGAAAAGCCATGACATTTAAAAAATGAATCTATCTGTAGGCTATAAGTCAAATGCAGACATAACATCACAATGGCATTTGTTCTCAAAAGGAGGGAGGCCAACGTTCATGTCATCCAGGGTGTGGGGCGACGGGGAGCAGGGCTGGGAGGAAGCCATCACATGCTGATCATTGGGACTTTCTTGGTTCCATATAAGGGCAGTTGTATATGGTTTCCATGTCCTTATCTTCACTTTTAAGCTCTTAGGAAATACAGACCTGAGATGTGCCATTTATCATTCCTGTACAATAGTCCCAGTAATTTTATGGGATTGACGTTTTGGACTCAACTTTGCGGTGGGCATTTAATATAGTTAGTATTTTTCTATTATAATTTGGATCTCCAATTTACAGGTGTTCTTTGTTAAACACTGAGTTTTTTCCGAATCAGTTGGAAACATCTGTCTGTGTCCCATTAAATAAAGCTATAGTTGAACATCTCTCCTGGTGGAATCACAGTCCAACCCAGTAGACTCGCTCTAATGGCATCATACTTGTAAGAAGGATCTTTTCTCATCACTCCTCTACCTACGCTCAATTAAAGATTACCCTATAGGTGATAGAGCATTTAAAACTCAGTACACCAAGCACAGTTTGGACTTCTTTTTAAGCTGTAAATATTTTTCTCTGCAGAGACTTCAGCAACACAGAAACACTGTGTAGTGAACAGAAATATTATTGTGAAACGTGCTGCAGCAAACAGGAGGCCCAGAAAAGGTGCGTAAAGGACTTAGCTCAAGAGGCTGGCTTTGTGTCTGGAGGGGGAGCCAGCTTGGGAAGCCTGCCAGATCTGATTTTGAATCCCAGTTCCATGGGCTCATAGCCAAGGAGCTTTGGGGAAGTCATTTACCTTTGTCACGGTTAAAAGTAGGATAAGAATGCCCACCTTGGAGAGTTGTCCATTCGTATGATTATTTGCTCATTTGGTCACTCATGCATTCCTTCCACAAATATTGATTGAGTGCTCCTATGTGCCCTGGGTAAACAAGTGGTCATCAGATACAGTCACTGTCGTCCTGGGGTTAAAGGCGAACTATTAAAAGGACCTAGTAGAGTACATGACATATAGTTGTCACTCAGTAATGTTGTTAGTATTGCCCAAACATTGGAACTTCTTTGCGTTTTAATCCTCACCCGAGGATATGTTTATTGATTTCAGAGAGAGTGGAAGGGAGGGTGGGAGGAGAGAGAGAGAGAGAGAGAGAGAGAGAGAGAGAGAGAGAGAGAAAGAGAAATATCTGTGTGAGAGAGAATCATCCATCCGCTGCCTCCTGTACACACCTTGACTGGGGATCGAACCTGCAACCGAAGTACGTGCGATGACTGAGAATTGAAACCGCAACCTTTTGGTGGACGGATGACGGTCCAATCAACTGAGCCACCCAGCGAGAGCAGAGCTTCTTATTTAGAAGATATGAGGTTAAAAAATGAATTATTTGATAAGGAATCATGAGGAAATCAGTAACACGTCAATTATATGGGTAGCTGATAGGAAAGTTATCACATTCTGAATTGATGTAGGACCCAAGGTTGCCCATCCTTTCCCACCACCAGTTACAGCTCTTGGACAATCTGAGATAACCAGTGCTTCCCGTTATTTTCCCCCAGAAGCCAAGAAACTTGACATTTTAATTATCCTGTGAAGTCTCCCTGTGAGTTAAATTTACCCGGCCCCTGGTTGTGGAATGCTCTCAGTAACTCATAGATGCTCATTACTGCCATCTAAACCCTCAGAGGCCTGAGGCTGAGGATGAAATAATTCCTCTGCCCAGCCTCCCAGCCCTTCTCATCTTTCCTTGCTGCATCTAAACGTACAGAAGGTTAGTCACTGGCAGGTGGAGCGTGGGTGGTAGGCACTTCTCTCTCCTTAGTGGTCAGGGAAGCTCGCCTCTGCTCCCATCCGTATACCTAGGCCAGCCCAGGTCTTCCGATGTGGCAGGAAGGTGATTTCTGTGCAGCCCTGGAGGTCTCGCACATTAAAATGTCATGTACTTCTATAAAATAGGAGGTTCCCCATAATTCATGTTTCTGCTGATGTTGTTATTTTGCTTACTTTTTTATGAACAGGGTTTTACCTTAATAGATTCCTGAATAGTATTCTCTTAAAATTTGTCCCTTTCAAATAATATGCATCAGATGTGTACACAAGCTGAGCAGGATGTACACAAATTCAGGACATTCATAGACAGGGCCCTGGAAGGTGCCCGGAGGACACTCTGTCCTACCAGTGCTCACTACAGAGACTGTTGTCTTTGTGACTTTCTACCAAGGAATATTAACGGCCCTCGGGTGAGAAAAGCTCTCTGTGTTTATATAAGTTTGGGAAATGCTGCATCAAACAACAGAAAAGCATTCCTTGAGTGTGGATTTCTCAAAACCACTGTGCTAAGGTGCAGGGAGGAGCTTCAAAACAGTGGCCTTGTCCAAACTGGGTCGCAGAAACCCCACCCTGTTAGCGTCTCCAGGGCGCTGAGGAGCCCAGTTTGGGAGATGGAGCGCTGAGCCAACCCCTGAACGAGGAAACTGAGCCAGAGAAGGGAAATGACGGGCCAAGAGCACGGAGGGAGTGGGGGTGAGCCTGGCACATTTGGTTTCCTGATGCCAGCGGCTGGCAGTGGCTGTTCATCCCTCTGGTCCTTGGAACCTGGAAGTCCAGACCACACCCTTCTGCTTGTCCTCTCCCCAGCGTCCTCTCCCCAGAGCTGCCACTCTCCTGTCCAGGATCTCAGGAAGGGGCTGGGGAGGGGTACCCAGGTGCTGTTCCTCCCTAGCAGGCTGGGCAGTGACAGAGAGTGATCGCACTCCCTAATTTTATTGGTACAGAAGATCTGGAATGTCTCCTCACTCAACAGAGCCCCAGGCTGCGTTTTTCTCTGGCCGACTGTGCTCAGTTAGCCAAGGATGTGGGAGAAGTCAGCTCTACACAAGTGAGCAGACTTTTACTCTTATGAGTGGTTGGTCATTTGCAGTTGGTTAGACCCCTCCTGCTCTCCATCTGCAGGCAACAGTGGATTCTGTTTCCCTAACGGGTCGGGTACAACTGGGTTTCTATTTCACGGTTCCGTAGGATGCGAGTGAAAAAGCTGCCCATGATTTTGGCCCTGCACCTGAAGCGGTTCAAGTACATGGAGCAGCTGCACAGGTACACCAAGCTCTCCTACCGCGTGGTCTTCCCGCTGGAGCTGCGGCTCTTCAACACCTCCAGCGACGCTGTGAACCTGGACCGCATGTATGACCTGGTGGCCGTGGTGGTGCACTGTGGCAGGTACGGGCCAGCGGCAGCGGGTGCACGCGGGAAGTGGGGGGGTCATCCCTGTGCCGAAGCAGACCCAGCTGGGCCTTTCCTGGGCTGTGAGTCCCAGTAATAATGGGACTATTTGTGGAATCTCTTCCAAGCTCTTGTATATATATATCATCTAAAACAAATATAAATGTGTCTACATGCACCCATAAAGTAAAATCAACTGCATTATGATAAGATATTCTAAATGTTTTATCACAAGGGAAATAATAAATCTTTGGTTATAAATGATGCTTGGGAGGAGTTTGAAATAACTTGAAGGCATAAATGCTTATGCTATGATTTTAATTTTTAAAAAGCCAGGTTACAGGTTATGTGATTTCAAAAGTATTTTAAGATGTATGAATAAAGACGAAGCAGTAGATCGGAGTTCAGTTTTCTGGCATTTTGAATGATTGAAAATGTACTCTTAAAAAATATTCTTTATGTATTTCTCAGTCTTTGCCCAACATTCCATGAGAAGTATATAATCTGGCTGTGGCTGTGTGACTTAGTTGGTTTAGGAGTCACCCTGTAAACCAAGAGGTTGCCGGCTCAATCCCCGGTAAGGGGCGTGCAGGAGGCAGCCCATCAGTGTTGCGCTTTCACATCGATGTTTCTCTTTCTCTCTCTCCCTCTCCTGTCCCCTCTCTCTAAAAATCAATAAATTATTTAAAAAAAAAACCCACAGCAAAGTCTGTTTTTAAAAAGTACATAATCAGAAGAGAAAGAGAGAGAAGGCCCCTAGATAGAGAAGAGCAGTGTTTTGCTGAAACTCCTTTGATTAAATCTTTTTTATAATTAAATCTTTTCTGTAATTTGGAGATGTCTGAACATGGAAAGGCTACTGAGACTTCCCCTCTTGTTTTCCTTTGCTCAGCTGGGGTCGGTGTGTGCTCTCTTCCTGGGTGGGCACAGCTTTCCCTGCCCTCGCGGGTTCTAGATTGGGATGTGCCGCAGTGCGGGTGTCTTTTCCTCTGCATCTTGCCTCGGTCGGGCTGTGGTGCACGGACTATTCCGGGAGGTGCACAGCTCCACGTGGAGGAGTGGATTGATGAGCTTTTAATCCTGTGTTGGGGTGGATGGTATCCTGAGCTGTCACGTCACATCTGAAGCACCCCTGTTTTGTCCTGCACATACTGACCAACTTCAGGTCACTGGATATTTTGTGTTCTCAGTTATATTTCTCGGGCAGTGATAAGCCGGCTTTGTGTTTTCCCTGAGGAATAGTTCTAACAGGTCCCTTTGAAGAACCCAGGGGCCCAGTGATTTGGAAGCTGGCCAGGGACACTAGGTGGGACCCCAGCAGGGCTTGGGAAGAGGAGGTTTTGGGGAGGCAGAGCCTGGTACCTGGAGGGCATCGTGCTGAGGCGGGCAGTGTGATGGGGAAACAAGCGCTCAGATTTGTAGGCTACGCATGGGTTTTCAGTGGGATCTCTGTGGTGCCAACTGTGATCCTGGGAGCACTGGGGAGGGCACGGCGGAGACCCATTGAAGAGACAGGACGAGCGGGAGACTGGGCTGGGACAGTCAGCCTCTGTGATGGTGCACGAGGTCAGAGCAGCCCTGACAGCAAGGGCGAGTGGGTGCTGAGTCACGCATGCTGCTCACTGGGATTCTTTACATTCTTCCCACCAGAGGCACATTGTTCTGATACGCAGAGCAGGGCTGGCTGGGGGCACCGGGAAGCTCTGAGGTTAGGGAGCTGAGCCCTTCTCTGTGCCAGGGCCTCCTGGCTCACGGTGGCAGTGGGTGCACAGCCTCACTCACTGATATCTGCTGCAAGCACTTTTGAACCCTTGTTTCCTGGGTCCCCGGGCAGGATCTGAAGGTACAGAACACTTTATGATTTTGATTCATACTGTGAGGAATGAACCAACCAGGCAGTGAGAGCAAGGGGAGTGATTGGCAGAGATCTATCTACCCAGGTGACCTTTTAGCTGAGGCCTCAGGATAACATGGGCCAAGAGTGCAAACACTGGGGGAGGATCGTTTCAGGCAGTTGCAGCGGGTGGAAGGCCCGTATGTGAAGGGTGATGTGTGTGAAAGCTGAGGAGAGCAGTGGGCTGGAGCTCAGGGAGGGGGCAGAGGGCTGGGTGAGGTTGGAGAAAGGCAGGAACAGTTCGTGTGGGTCATCTTGTATTTAAAGAAAGTAACCGTAGGGAAATACAGCTTTTTAGCTTTAATGATGTATTGCACAAAACAAAACTCTAAAGTCAGGATTAAAATCTCATTTGTGCAAATCTTAACTACAGAGTAATAGCTGTTTAGTTGTTCTTTCTACTATTTTTATCTTCTGTACTAATAAAAGGGCAATATGCTAATTAGACCAGACATCTTCCAGACATCCATCCAGACAAAGCCATGGTGGTAGGGGCCGAGGTAGAGGCAGTTGGGGGCGATCAGGCCAGCAGGGGAGGGCAGTTAGGGGCAATCAGGCAGGCAGGCAGGCAGGCAGGTGAGTGGTTAGGAGCCAATGGTCCAGGATTGTGAGAGCGCAGGGATCGGGCCTAAACTGGCAGTCAGACATCCCCCAAGGGGTCCCGGATTGGAGAGGGTGCAGGCCAGGCTGAGGGACACTCCCCTCCCCCCCCCCCCTGCACAAATTTCGTGCACCGGGCCTCTAGTTGTGTAATATATACCTGTTTATTTTAATGCTTGGTATTATACATTGTGGTTTAGTAACATCTTTCTGAAACTTAAATCAACTCCTCAGAATTTCCCAGGGTCTTCCTGGCTCACTCACAGCAAAATCTTAGCCATGAGAGCCCCTACCCCCTTTGGCTTTGGCTGCCCCTGGCTCTCTCGGCTCTGGCCTCCTTGCTCTTCCGTGAACACAGCAAGAACTGTATCCCCCAACACCTTTGCACTTGCTGCTTCTTATTCCTGATGCTTCCATCTAATAGTCCATGGCTTGTCCCACAGTCCTTTCCTTCAGGGAAATTTTCTTCTGCTCACATCTCATGTTATCAGTCCCTTCCATCACTTTATATCGGAGAATGCTGTCCCTCTCCACTCACTATGCCATCCATCGGCTTTATTCTTCATGGCCTTTACCACCACTGCAGCTGCATCTACATTTTAGTTTGTTTATTCCCTATTCAACCCCTACCCCCACAAAAGTGGGACTTGGTTTTGTTGACTGTGTTTTCTGCTGACAGCCAGAATAGGATCTGGCACATAGTAGGTACGCATACAGTGATTATTTGCTATATTTGTCGAATCTGAATGTCTGTTTTCCCCTGGTTTGTGAGTCCTTAGATGCCAGATGTCCACTTATCTCTGCACTCCATGTGCCCAGCACAGCGCCAGCACCTGGTGCTCCTCTGTGAGCCGGTCAGGCCAAGTTCTGCCCTGATGATAGCTTTCTCTAGTGAGTCGCTGCTTATAAAGAAGTAAATGTTAATGGGCTACTGTCTTCTTTTCTGCCTTTTCCAGTGGTCCTAATCGTGGGCATTATATCACTATTGTGAAAAGTCACGGCTTCTGGCTTTTGTTTGATGACGACATCGTAGAGGTGGGTATGCAGAGAGCTCTGCGGCAGGGGTGGGGTGGGGATCGCATTTTGGGGAATGTGTAGGTGTGGATGTTTTCTCGAAGAGGCCTGTTTTCCTACCATCTGACCTTAGAACAACGTACATTTCTCTCAAAAGGAAATCCTGCTGCTTCCCATTCTCTATGGAGAGGGAGAAGGGGTGTGATCATGGCCTCCTTAATACTGTGTTCTGGTTAACTGATCAGCCATGGACATGGGAGCTTTATGCCACCATCAGTCATATTTATAATGAGTTCTGCCGCCTCATGTACTGCAGTCCTCTCTGGTAAAGACCAAATAATGCACTTCGAAATTCTGTTAAAATTTTCTCATTATACCAAATTTTTCTTGTATTGGTTATTAAAAACTTTGTTTTTCAGTCTGTTGGACCTGGAAAAATCTTTATATTACACTCAAGTATTCCAAATGTTGATTTTGTTGTAGAGGCATAGTAGCTGGAGAGAATTCACGCTCAAAGACATGGTCTAGTTTAGCCCATGGGATAAAAAGAAAGGGAAAGAATCATGGTGACTCCCCAGGCCCCCAGTTTGCCATTAGAAAGACAGAAGTCCTGGCTCCTCCAGCATGTCCACATGTGGCTGCTGCTAAATTCGAGGGTGGCTTTCTCCCCAGAGATGTGCAGTTCATGCAGTCGTGTCTTCTGCCAAGTCTGTGGAATTGCCGGCTGCCATCGGAAGTTCCCAGTTGTGATTGTATAGCCAACAGTGTTCCTGACACCTCGTGCCTTCCATTAGTTCTCCTGTCCTTCTCCCAGTCGTCACGTTACACAAGTATATTGTTTTATTTCTCTTTTGTTGCAGAAAATTGATGCCCAAGCTATTGAAGAATTCTATGGCCTGACGTCAGATATATCAAAAAATTCAGAATCTGGATATATTTTATTCTATCAGTCACGAGAATAACTTAAAGGACCGTGGGACTAACTCAAGAGGGGGAGTGTTCAAGCACTGTTACTGGGTTCTCTGCGGACTTGCTTCTCCCCGTGGACCACCAATGTATTACTCCGAGTCTCAATGATCTGGCTGTGTTAATCTCTCTCTCTCTCTCTCTCTCTCTCTCTCTCTCTCTCTCTCTCTGTTTTTTTTCTACATGCAGCACTATTCGTGGTCTTATTTTAGTCTGAGGTAGAAGTTAACTGCAATCAGATTGTAGTAAGATTTATATGAATAACAGTTGCTAATTTTAGGGTCGGGTAAACATTATGCCACTGGCTGTCTCTGGCTGGATTAGAATGACATGTCCTAGAATGTCTGCAGTCCGTGTGGAGTCTTTGCTGAGCTTCCTAAGTGGTTTCCAGGGACTCCTTTCAATGCATTCCTTTACCGGGTCCCTGGAAACGTTGCTACCCATGTTTAGCTTCTCTGCCTCGAAGGACAGAATTGGGTAGATGTTCACCTTTAGGGCTGCAACTATAGCTTTAAGTGTGTGCAGGTGAAATTGTTTAAAAGTGAGTAACCTCAGATACTAAAACCATCCTCCAGGTGGGACAGGGTGAAGAGCTGTTCAAGGTGCCAGTGTGTGCCCAGGCTGTGCTCACCTCGAGCCAGAATTCCCCTGGGGCAAAGAGGGTGGGGAGCTCAGAGCAGGCAAAGCCAGGAGGAGGAAGCTTTCACGGGGAGAGAAAAGTTACTTATCTTTCTACCAAAACCACGTTCAGGAAAATAACTCTCTGCTGTGTGTTCTTAGTGCCACTTCCTTCCGCAAGGTCCCGTGCGTCTCTCTCTCCTCTATCTGGCACTGCTAAGCATCCAGGGCACCTTTCCAGGCCTGGTGCTGGCCTTTCGCAGTCCGTGGTCACAGGGCTGGGACCCCGGTGGCTGCCTCCAGCGCAGCTCTCCTGAGCAGTCAGACCAGCATCATTCTGTGCCCGGGAGAACGAGGGCACTGCCCCGTTAGGACCAGCTGCGCGCTGGGCCGCTGTTCACTTTGAGGCATCTCAGCCTGCTCGCTGAGGCGGCGGCAGCCCAGGCCAACGTGGCACCTTCCCTGGAGGGAAGACTGGAGTTAACTGGCGTGAAGGTGGGTCGAGGGAAATGTCGGAGTGGGTGGAGGAGGGAGCCAAATGGCGGCGTTTCTTTGACTCAGGCTCCTAGGATGCTTGACAAGACGGAGTTTTTTGGATGAACCTCATCTCACCCTAGTTACTTTTTTCACTTTTGTTATATATGTATTTATTAGATCATTTGAGTATTGGTACCTTTTATTAAAAGGGTTGATGTGGTGTTTTGCCGTGGAGCTGGTTTTTGGTTTCCTACAAATGCTATGAGTCATAGACCTTCCTTTGGGAAGTCGGTTGACCTCCATACACTATAATATACTGTGAACACATGATCTTGTTATCTAATAAATCAGCGAACGAACATACAGGCGTTTGGCATAATGTGAACTAAAATTGAAATGGAAAATGTTAGTGGCCATTTTGCAACAAGTAAGAGCATAGCACTTTATCTAGATGAAAACTGGATTTCTTGTCTTTGAAATATCGTGAACTGTTTATTGCTCAGAACTTAAATAAGCATGCTGACACTTCATTTGTTCATGCTTGAAGTGAAATGTTTTACTTTTCACTGGAGAAGACAAAACAGGGTGATCTTCACGTTATTGTTTTATACGAGTGACAAAAGTATACATCGCCTTGTTTAAAGGCAAATTCATATTTATAAATATTTTGTCTGTTTTTTCCTCCATGAAACGTATGCAGTGATCACTTACCGGGAAGGTGAGTTTTTATTCTGTTATTAAGGAGAGATACTTTCCAATTGAAGGTGATTGCTGTAGGGAACTGTTTGTACTATATATAACCCATATATTTGACTGCAGGTTGCAAAGCTTAAGAAAATGATGGTTGATATCTAATATATTTGGAACTGATTCATAAGAAAAACTATTAAAATTATCTTTGAAATGACTCTTGAAGCTAATTTATTAGAAAAAAAATGTTTCATTTAGAAGCCTGTGTAAGTAATATCTAAATGCAAAGTCATAGATTCAGGATGCCTTTTTTTTTTATAAAGAGTTTTTTGTTTTTTTCCAGTGACTTAACTGAAGTAATTCCTTTTACTAGAAAGTGTCAGTTAAAATTCAGTTTTCATGGATAGATTTTTGGAATAAAAAAAACAAGAATGGGGGATGATGCAAAGACATGGAAATGGTCGTGTGATGCAGGAAAAGATTGGGAAAATGCACTTATCCTCCAGCACTCCGTCGGGTTTTTAAACTTTAGAGCTATCGGGTAATTTCTCCCTTCTCTTCAATTAATGAAACAGACACTAGGCAGCTACTTCCCCCCGGGTCATTTCACGTTCTGTAAAGACAGCAGCATGCACACACTTTTATTTTTCATCCCTCATTCATCCCCCAGAGCAGAGATTGGTGTGGGAAACGCCGGACCATTCGGAGGCCAAGGATAGCACAAGGCTCAGCAGTGCCCCTGGCGTGGCCAGGGTTTTTACGAGTCGTTTTCGGGAGGAAGGCCTGCTGTATTTTTTTTTCAACTGCTGGGTGTTTTAAAATGAGTTACCATGTTTTACACTTGACACGAGAAGAAATACTTGCTTTATTGGCTACTTACTAGTTTAGCATCTAGATTATGGTGCAGTATGCCGAAAAGGTAAATTCTGGTAAAATGCTGACATTAGTCCTGGATGTCGATGCGTTTTCCATTCTGAGGCTGCACCAAGTGGCCTGGTCTGAGGCAGCCAAGGAACAACACAAGAGGGTGCTGGTCGGAATAGGAAGCCGGTTGGTTGTGTAGCTGGTATATTTTGGATGTCAGATGAAGTGGGGAAAGAAATGGCAGAAATGGTCCCCAGGCGTTTATTTCCTGGGTACCCCTAATTTCATGGGCATGCCTAACAATGAACTATGCTCTAACTGGAGCTTAGGGCTTATTTTCGATATTGGAGTGTAGCTTTATTACAGATGGACTTTATCTTTAAACATTGCATTTTGATCAACTTTGTATAGTCCCGTGTATTAAAATACTGTGCACTAAATGTTTTGCCCTGTTTTGCTCTCCTGTGGTCAAGGCGTTTATCAGCACTGTTGTGATTCACTCTGTAGATGGCATGGGTCAGGGAAAAGGGTTTCCTACTTTTCTGCCTAAGTAAGTTTCTGTTTTCCAGTATTACATTAATTTATTTTTGGCTTCCATTACTGTGTAACCAAAATAGTTACTCTATGTGTGTGGCATTCATATGACTTTGTTGCTAAAAAAAAAACAAAAAACAAATAGTTTTCACTTAAAATAATCTGTACCTTAATTTTTTTAAATGTAACAGTTCAAGCACTTTAAGCAATAATGTCAATCTTGTGAAATTTCAATCAGTTTAACACCCTGCCTCTAAAATTGTTTGCAGAAAATAAATAAATTTAAAAAAATAGGAATTCTCTTCCTAGAGAATTATATCTGGGTAATGTTATATACATTATGTTATAAACATGTGAGTCATTGTTAAGTCTCATATCTAGGTAGTTATTCTGGACTTAATTTCATAGCAGTGGGAATGTAAAGAACATTCTGGTCATTGTAATAGATCGAGGCAATGCTACTGTCAAGGTTGATAAAGTCACTGTTCTGGAGGTAACTTACTAGTTTTGAATGAAGAGGCCAACAGAATTAATCCTGAAATCTGTATCCGGGGAATAGCAAATTGAGCATATCGGTGGGGGAAAAAAAAAAAAGAATTAAGGATTGGTAATTAGGCATCACCAAGAATTGCTTAACTAGGGACTTTGCGTATGAAATCTACTAGTTGGCAAAATAAAAGATTTATTCCCCAAAAGGAAGTGGCTGCAGCTCTGGGATCCCATCAGCATCTGGCTTCTCCCTGCCTGCTCTCAGTGTTGCCTGAGCTTGCCTGTCAGCTCCTTCTAGAGAGCACACAGTGTTTCAAAAACATAAATCCATTACATTGCATCAAGGACTTGGGCATCTTGCCTCTTAACTCTCACGTTAAAAGAGCCGGCGTGTTGAAAGTCTTAACACTGGATTTTATGAATCAAATATCTAAACACTTTCTTTACATTATCCTATATAATAAAAGGGTGATATGCAAATTGACCCTAAGGGCAGAACTACCAGGGAATGACTGGTCGCCATGACGTGTACTGACCACCAGGGGCCAGACGCTCAACGCAGGAGCTGCCTCCTGGTGGTCAGTGCGCTCCCCCAGTGGGAGCTCCGCTCAGCCACAAGGCGGGCTGATAGCTGCAAGCAAGCCTCTCCTGCTGCCTCGGCAGCGCTAAGGATGTCCGACTGCGGCTTAGGCCCGCTACCCCTGCTCCCCGGGAACTTACATCCCCTGAGGGCTCCCAGGCTGCCAGAGGGATGTCTGGCAGGTGGACATCCCCCAAGGGGTCCCGGACTGCAGGAGGGCACAGGCCAGGCTGAGGGACCACCCCCCCCACACAAACCCTGGAGTGCATGAATTTTTGTGCACCAGGCCTCTAGTTACCAATTAGAACCAGTCATTCAGGGCATGAGAGTTTTTAAGCTGTGTGACTATTTTATTGGTTTATCAACCTGTGTTTCCTTTTATAGTTCCCTTATGGTTCAACAGTGCTTAAAAAAGCACATTAGGAATTTACAAACAAATGAAAAATAACTTCATGTTGGTTATGAGGCACCACAATCAGAAATGACACGAGATTTTGTAACGAGGATTCCTAACTTTGTGCTCATTTCCCACATGGCGATTCATAGTAAAGTATTTATTAACAGCCTTGGGTATCATATTCACCTCAGTTGCACGGACCATGTTTGTGTGAGGGCGCAGGCTGTATCAGGGTGGTGTGGAACCCCACAAAAACCCTTCGTGGGGAGGTTGGGCACCTACGTTGTGGGTTGAAATTCTATTTTGTTCTTACCTCCTTAGCGAAGTCTTGAGCTTTCAGAAGAAAACTGAGACATAGATTTGACTTGGCTGGAAGCAAAATAATTTGATGGTTGAAGCCACCATTTCTCGATATTTAACCAAGTCCTTTGCTCCAATTCAGCTGTAATTTTATTTCAGCGTCTGTCTTAATTGACCTTGCCTGACAGAACATTCTGTGCTGAGACAACTGAAAATAAACATGAGACATTTTAAAAGTGAGCCATCGTACCTCCTGAGCAGGCTAAGCCTTCTCACTCCAGAGCTCATCTCCAAGTTGAGTTTTATTTACTCGTTTCCCAAGCGAAAGGATAGAAAAATATTTTGTAAGGACTTGACGAAACCTGTGTGAAAAGATCATTCCATTGGCCTCCTCGCATCTCCACCCCTAGGATGAATTTTTTGAAAAGTCTTTGAAAAGAAGTTATTTCTGCATATTTTTCTATTTCTGCTACCCCCAAAACCCAGAGAATACAAATAAATTGCTAGCCTAGGTATGTTGTATGTCCCCCTGGACTTAGAAGGCTTCAGCAGAAGTTGGGGTGAAGGTTGTGGAATAGAGAGAAGCCCTCTTCCCGGATCTTCATTGATAGACCTGGGGTCTTTACACTTTGTCATCTGCGGAGTTGTGAAGGTTTATGAGGAACAACCTCACCGCAGACTCTGTCCTTAGATGGGAATTTGTACAGAACATAGAAGAATGAGGGGGTGTGGATCTCAGGAGTAAGAGGAGGGGAATAAAGTTAAGATCCTTCTAGCATTACTTCTTAGCTTCTCAGCCTTGGTCCCCAATCTGTGCACTTGGCCCTGCAGGGTTAGATGGAACCCCACTGAGCCCCACAAACGCCGTTAGCTGATTGATATGCAACCTACAGATTCTGTGCTCTTTGCTGTTGCCCTGACCTTGATCTCTGATGGGAGAATTTTAGACCCAATTCAATAGAAGCCTGAAAAAGCTCTCCTGGACTTAGTCCAGGTTCCAGTGTTGGCTGGTTGCCAGCTGGTGCCATCGTCAGCATGTGGGGAAATAGAGGATCAGAAGGCATAAGAGTTCAGGTCCTGACTGTGGCTTCCTGGTTCCATGAAGTTAGAGGTTGGTTCGACCTAATTTGTTGGGGTTACCGTGCTAATGCATGGTGTTTGGAAAAGGGGCTCTTCTCCATGGTTCCTTGAGGAGACACACAACTGTCAAAACAATAGAAAGCATAGACTAGTTACGTAAACATTGTAGGGTAGTACTACGCTATACTGTTCCATTTCATCTAATCCCCACGACATTCTCCAGGCATGAAGGCAAAGAGAGGTGAGAGACAAGCAGCCCCTGACAGCCAGGCACCAGCCTGAAAAGCTACGCCTTGGATGTTGCTGGGGGCTGCTCGGCACTCACAGCTGGGCCGTGGTGTTTTCTGGCTGGAGTGATCTCACAGACACCAGCCTCAGACGAGGTCAAGCTGAGACCATGATGAAGTGAAACAAAAAATAAGACAACTTCATAATTCTGTCTAAGCATAGACAAAAACAAGGTCACTGCGACCACAAACACCAAGCGTCTCCTCCCCCCAAATCGGAGTCACTGCTTCACCCAGGACAGTGTTAGCTCTCATCGGTCCTAGATGAGGTTTCAGATACACGGTCAGAGAACCGTCCCCACTGCTTGACCACACCCAATCCAGATGGAACCCCTGTTCCTTGAGCCCTCCCCTAAATAAGCAAACCAAACCCCAATCCTATACGTTCTTTCTCTCCCTCAGCTTCCCCACGGTGTGTGGCCTCACTGCTGTGAGGGTTACACTGTGTTCTACCACAGTTGTGTGCCTGGTGGTCTGGCGGGAGAGGATCGACAGAGGAGTGTGCTAACCGACAGATCCGTCACTTCCTGCGGTCAGCCTGGGCTGCTGCTTCGCCGTGGGAAGGAGAAGGAGCCACACACGGTCAAGGCTGTCGTCAGTCCCCCATTCGTCTGGTTGATTTGCAGTAACTCCTGCCCAGAGGGCACGGTGTTCGGACTGGATGCCAAGAGAAGCTTCTTTCAAGTAACTGGATCACCTGGGCCTCGGTTTTCCCTAACCTGTCAAATGCAGTGAGAACGTGGTTGTGAGGTGTAGAAACTTGTGGAAAGCTCAACAGGTATAGAACGTGGTGATGGTGAGCGGGATATGGTGAGACCAACAAGCTGTGTTCATTGTGTGTGGATTCCTGGCACCTCTGCACCTGCCCTTAGAATCTCTCAGGCCCGGGTGTGCCTGTCTCGAGCCCGGGAGCTCATTTAGGGTCAGACTTCAAGGTGGGGTCTGACGACAGGGATGGGCCCTGACCTCCACCTGTCGCGAGAGTACAGTCTGGAGAATTCCAATGTTCTCCACAGAGGGTTCCGGTTCTGTCTGGGTCTTGTTACATGTGAGCTTAGAGCCATAGGTCTGGGGTGGAGTGAGGGTCTGAGAAGGGTGAAGGCGGAGGGTCAGTGGGATGATTGGGGACATAGTGCAGAGCCTAGTGCCCTCTAGTGGGAATAGCCTAGAAATAGCCCCCAATTTTTCTCAGCTGCTGCACAGGACTCGCTCTATTTATATATATTTATATTTATATGTAATTTGCCCATGGGTTTTGTTAAAAACAAACAAACCCAAGACCTTACAGTTATCTTGAAGCCAAACCAGGGCTTAAATTAAACAGGCAAGATGGGGCCATGAACACAGGATCCCTGTGACAACAGTGCTCTGGGTCCCTCTGAAGGTTTTGCTTAGACGGGGCGGCTGAGTGAAGTCAGGTCCTGCTGTCGGCAGGGCTGGTGTGGAAGAACCTCGTCAGAGGAGGACAGCTGGTCCCTGTTCCTACTTCACTTGTTAATGCTACAAAGAGGGCAGGAAGGAAGGGAAGAAACACGGCACCTTTGAGAAACAGATAGAAGGGTTTAAGTCAAAGGTCTGAGAGCCACTTTCTTATTGGAGGAGGGTTAGGGACAGTGCCCAACAGCAAGCCGGCTGAGGTGGCAGGGCTGCATTTTATTCCGCATAGTCCTACCCGAGGGCAAATATGCTGTTTTGTTTCTGTTACTCATGTTTTGGTGAAAATTCTTTGTAAGCTATTGATTTTGGGGGGCACAAAGATTAAGAGCTCCCCAA